TTACATCTAGAAATTGACAATGAGAGACTTTACGACAAAATGGATGATTTTTGCTTCTCAATTTTGAACTGTTCATTTACATGTTGCAGCATTCCAACAGCGCGATATACGATATTACAGAGCTTGCGTTTCCTATCATTATTTCTCTTGAAAGAAGGTTGCTGCTTACAAGGACGCTATTGAACCAAGGGTTTTAAGTGGTAAAGTTGAAATCATCCCTTCGAAAGTTTTAAGGACGCCATCACGAGTCGGTCGACCGTTTTGGAATATCTTTGTCACAGATGACTACCGGTATATTCATATTGTCGTAACCACAATCCTGTCCTATTTCCTCGGTTGTGACATCACCAAATGAGATTTATCATCGGATTTGTTTATTCTTTCGGAGCTCCCGAGTTCAAACCCAGTTTTTGCTAGGGTTCGTGTTGCCGTCGTTTTTCGTGTTTTTTGTTTGTTTGGTTTTTTTTGGGGGGGGGGGGGGGGGGAGGGGGCATGGCATTGTCAGTCTTTCTTCGACTTATAAACTTTAAATGTCTCCTTTGTATCTTCCGCTTCTTTTTTTTACTTGACGTTTTAGCCGGTGTCTATACTCAATAGTATGGACAGCTTGTAATGTTATTCAGTGATGATCTACTTATATATATAGTAATCACCTTATCCTCTTATTATTACGGGGCAGCGTGTATTATCATTTACATTTTAACTGGAACTATTATACTAACAATATATTATGTGCCAGATTTTACACTATATTTTGTTTAAAGGGATGTGTGTTGATTTTGCTCTGTTTGTTTTGTGTTTTAGTTTGTGCTGTTTTATGTTTCATTGTCTCTGTTTTCACTGGTAACTCTCTGTTCTATCGTTTTCTCTGGAAAACTTTGTTTTTATATCTAAACTTTCACATTAAGGTTTAGTGTAAGAGAATCCATATTACCAATGGTTAATAATTTTGGGTGATGTCTTAACAGAGACATTCACCAATCCATTTTGTTTATTGCTTATAATTGGACAAGATTGATCATATATCAGCTTGTACTGCGATCTACTTAATTATGCCACTTTTGATGTAAACAGTAATTTTAAGATCCCGATGAAAGTATCGAAAAAGAGATACATCTTCGCCACATTTATGTTCCTCGTTTTATTTCTGGACTGATGGTGATCTTCAAAGCATTTTATTTTTCTCATTTCTTAGATTTTAAGGCTTAGTCGTTTGTGCAGTATATTATAACCGCTAGGTTTGTATGTTTATATAAAAAGATGACCACTGAAGTAAAAACTTAGTCAAAACAACAACTTTCGTACAAAACTTAGTCAAAACAACAACCATCGTACAAAACTTAGTCAAACAACAACCTTCATACAAAACTTAGTCAAAACTGGGAACAGTATATGTTCCTGATCAAAACAACAACCTTCGTACAAAACTTAGTCAAAACTGGGAACAGTATATGTTCCTGGTCAAAACAACAACCTTCGTACAAAACTTAGTCAAAACTGGGAACAGTATATGTTCCTGGTCAAAACAACAACCTTCGTACAAAACTTAGTCAAAACAACAATCATTGTAGAACGTTATCGTAGATGATATGTAAAACCTGTTTTAATGATAAAATGATTAATATCCCCTTTTTGTTATGTATCCCAAATTATAAAAAAATGGCCTGTTTAGCCATGATATAAATAATTTAAGACGTGGGATAAGAGTCAAAAACAAATGGTCAAACTGAGCCAAAACAGAAAACAACACTGAAGAAAAAAACCACCAACAACAAACATACTACAATACAGTAAATAAGGATATATTTACAAAATGGTCTGTTTCTCAAATAAGCAGCGAAGGTGAAAATAAACTATAAAAAAAGTAAAATAATATATTGGTGACCCACGCTGTACGTGGATAGTAAACTTGAAATTGTTAATAAATAGCAAATACAAGTTATTTCTAGTATATTTATGTTTATTTAATAAAGAAAAACGCAAAAATAATTGAAATTGATAGAAAATAAAAAAAATACCGGATTTTGGAAAAAAGGGGGAGGGCTAAAAAAATTGTCCTGTCACCCGCTTGAAGTACCCGTATAATAAATACCATTCTCAAATCCATTCAAGTGTTTTCGTACGCAATTAAGTTGATTATACTCATATTTATATATGATTGTCAAAACTATTTGTGTAAAATACTTTAAAACTCTTCATGGGCCCTTTAATTGGAATAAAAAAATATCTTATCTTATTTGTTTAGGGGCCAGCTGAAGGACGCCTCCGGGTGCGGGAATTTCTCGCTGCATTGAAGACCTGTTGGTGACCTTCTGCTGTTGTCTGTTCTATGGTCGGGTTGTTGTCTCTTTGACACATTCCCCATTTCCATTCTCAATTTTATTATCTTATCTCTGTACTGTCGGGACTATTATATAATTGTCCCAGCTCTGTATGAATTTATTGTGTGTCACTGCGTCTATCTAAACAAAAATTCACAAGACACGGAGCGATAAATAAACCATTTCTTTTTAATTTTCAACAAAATTACCGTAACAAGCTGCGATTAAGGGAAATAACTGTTTGATATTACTTCAGGGGTGTTCCTAAAATAGGAAAGAAAGCCTGGTTCCCGATAAAAGTGTTGTTCCTGATGCATCGAAATCTTTCATTGGTTTCAGTTTGGCGCTGTATCTCACCGTATCTCAATGCTGTATCTCGAGATGTTTGTTCAAGTCTTATTTTACATGTGAACCCCACTGTGAACGCCATGACAACAATTGAACAAAAAAATTTACTAATGTTAAATGTATAAACCCGTTTCAAGATGGCACTCGTATGAATTTCTACACAGAAACTATAATAGAGAGATTACTGTAAATAGCAAAAATGTTCAGCAAATTACATTTTACAAATAACACATAGCTGATATTGTCAATTAGGAGTTATTGCCCTTGAACCATGATTTTTTCACATATTTGCATTTTGTGCAGAATCTGTAATAGATAGAGAGAAATTAAAAAAAGCAAATATGCAAAGTACAATAAGTTAACATGGCAGAAATTGTCAACTGACTCTTTATGAAGTTATTGCCCCTTGATTGGTAATTTTTACCCAATTATGCTTTCTTTTGCATAAGCCATAATAGATGGACAGAAACTCAGCCTTTTCACAGTAAATGCAAAATTGTTAAGTAAAATTAGATGGCTGAAATCATGAATTAACTCCTTATCAGAGTTATTGTCTTTAATAAGGGGAATTTTAACCACAGTGTTCTCCCCAGGCAGTTTTAGCGTCGCGGCACAGAGACGCTATATTTTTTTCCCGTGATGCTATAATAATTTCTGCAATGCTATAATTATTTTGAGGATGCTATTTTTCTTGTCTCTATATCGCAAAACCATGTCCTAAATTTTGAACTTTCGTCTAATTACTGCTTGTGATCATAAAAATTATATCACCTTTAATTGTAATCCCTTCAAGTCCGAAAATAGAGGCAATTTAGAGTGATAATACTGATTAAATAGGTGTTAATTGCCCTTTGGGTGATAACTGAATGGAAACGAATATACCCCAAGCTGACACTTGTGACATGACTAATACCACGTGGTCCAATCGCAAATTTCAACATGGAGAAAATTTAATCAGAAAATCGAAAATCAATATTCGAAATCTACATTTGCATAATCCAAATTCAAGGATACAAACGATTTCTCTCTTTAGAAAAGAGGTTAGGTCGTATATTTTTACAACTTTAAAAAATTGCTTTCTTTCATTTTTGGTATCTAGTTAATCGAGATCGTACATGACGTATGCTAAACATTTTGATTTTGAGTTAAATAAGTTTGATACTTCTTTAGAAAGAGATCTTAATTGGCTTTAGTTAATGTTTCATACATTTAATGCATTAAAAGCATCATATGCATTCCCAATCTCTTGTCAAACATTGTTTATTTTGTAAATTTTTCTTCAGCGGCCATTGAAATATTTGTGTAAACTACCAATCGAAACGGGACTAGATATGACAAAATTCCGCATTTTTACGATAATAACTACAGATGCACACATGGCACAGTAGACAGAAAAAATGATCACAAAAGAGAAAAATACGCATTCCATGTGCATTAACAGACTATTTATTAGATATCTTTGCTAAATGTATCCTTTTAAAAATGCATTGTTTTAATATACTTACTAAAGTAGCTTAACTTTGTTAAAAATATATATCATTTTGATATAAAGAAACAACTGGGACTAATTCATTGAGTACCATGAAACAATGAATTTCATAGACACGATAAAGAAAAAAGTTTTTTAATTGAAATTGTATTGCTATATGATAATTTCTCTTCCCTTTTTATATAAAAACCAGTTCGTTTTTTTTTGCTAGATATTTAGTATTGCATATATACAGGTTGCACTATAATAAACCATTCATTCATTCATTTAGTTGAGTAGGTAGGGTAACTGGAACCACACATATATTTTTATTTGGCCCAAGAGGAAAAAAATAATTCTGTAACTATAAATGAAGACAGAAAACATAAACTGAAACAACTGTTATCATGGTTAAAGTTTAATTGTATTCTCAGTTATGAATTGAACAATATAAACATATATAACAAAAAGGGAATAGATCATAGCCGCGACGTGTCAAATGACATTGAAAAAAAAATAGTTTATTTTTTTATGCCAAATGTGATGCTATCTAAAAGTTCTGGGGAGAACACTGAACCAGTTCTGCATTTTTTTCAGAAACCATAATAGATATTGAGATAGATGTTATTAAATAGCAAAGATGTTAAGCACAATAATATCTACAAATAAATCAATATGACAGAACTGAATCGGTAATGACATTTATCTTGTAAACTACAATTGATTGAGAAAAATTCAATGTAGCAAAAAATGATCGACAGCAAGAAAGGAACGTCAAATAAGTAAACATTCCTTAAATAACAATTATGACAATTTTTATAAATTTTTTGCTCAATATTTAATTCTTTAAAAAGACAGAGAGAAACTTTAAATAGCAAAATTAATCAGATAGACAATTTGTACAAATACAACCAAAATTGTCAATTGACACCTGATGGAAGTTATTGCCCTTTAAAGATTTTTTTTACCCTTTATTTTAATGTTTTAAGAAAACTAATTAAATAGAGAGAAACTGTAAAAAGCAAAAACCATCATCAAAATAAGATCTACAGATAATTTAACTCAGCCAAAATCACCAATTGACTCCTTATAAATTCTACAATAGTAATTCATTAATTCAAATGATGCCATGTCTCCTCTTAATTTCTATTTTTTTTCAATCCAAGAGATATACACTTTCAGGACCTCATTCGAAATAAGCAGTCATGTTTTTATTGGTTTTCCTTGGAGTTAGAAGGATACCAACTTGCATTGAGGTATTTATATTTTATTTCATATTTTTAATTAAGCATATTTTTAAATTGTCATTGTATATACATTTTTGTAGTTGATATTGATTCCTTAATGAATTTGACCTTTTACCTTTTACAATTCCAGGTAACAAATGTGAATGACATACAACACACCAAGAGATCATTGTATGATCAACTACTCAATGTGAAAAAGGCACAACCAATGCACTGACATGGTGGTAGCATATTTCAGGAGACTATTTTCTCATGCCTTCCATCTAAATAAAGACCAGCTGCAACAATAGGGAGCAGCATAAAGACCAATGTTATTACATGCAACTGGGGATCATAATCAATGTGGAAAATGGAACAAACATAATCTAAACCAATACACTTACAAGTATACTGGTCTACCCAGAGGAAAGCAGATAACAGATGAAGTACTGAAAGAGAATCTGACAAGTAATGCAGTCAGGTTACTTATGAATTTAAGTTGGATCCCACAAATACTTTTGTTAACGGAAATAGTACTGTTAAGCAAAGCAACAATTTCAAATATTTAAAAGTCACATTGATCAAATATTTACAAAAAATATTAATAACTCAAAAGAGAATTTTTAATCACATCTTATTATCTTATACTAAGCGTGAATACATGCAGTGTTACAAAAATGCTGATCAACAAAATGATAACTACAAAGTTTATATACCCTACCTTCCTTAATAATTTTATAGCAGTCATTGTCTGAGAACCAGAGAATTTATTTGACATGGCCTTACCATGAGTGGTTCCCTTTTTAACTCACCTTATCACAAAATTTAACAAATTGCTGATAAAAAAGTTGCCAGAAAGAGCTCACCTTAGTCAGGTGCAACAAATCTATCATCATAGCAATTATAGTAATGATAATCTTATTTGAAGCCAAATTAACTAAAGGAAATATTTTTGAATATTTACATTTTACAGATTAGCTCCACTTGCATCTAGTCAAAAATATGAATCCATCAACTCTGTTATTTAAAAAAAAGCACCCAAAACTATGCATAATGGTGGACCAAAGTCTCTTACATGAGTGCCAGCAGCAATCAGTCAAATCAACAATGGTCGTCACTATATCACAGAGATTTTACAGCGTTAAAATATAAGTATTGGTTCTGACACAAACAAACTTTGAAGAAATGAGCCAAATCAACTACGGTTGTCACAATATCACACAGATTTTACAGTGCTAAAATATAAGTAATGGTTCCAACACAAAGATGACACCAAAAAAGAAAGACAAAGTTAGGTGCCACAAGAAGAAACATTATTTCTTTCAAAAGGAAAAGGTCAACATTAAAGTCACACAGGTATCTATGTTTACGATCGTGAATTCATTCTTCTTATTTTAGTTAATGAATGTAATTAATAGACAAGGTTTGTGGTTTGCTCCCTGAAATGCAAACAAATAGATATAGTTTCAACTGTAAAAAGATTGTAATTTGTGCTTATAAAATAAATTTCTGTCATGTTTATTTATGTAGGCAAGACATTTTATGGTGTACATTCTTTTTATATCCCAGCTTCGAAAAGGGGGATGTTTTTTAGTTTTACTGGTTTAAGTCTGTCCGTATTTCTTTTTGTCTATCTGTCACATACATTTTGGTTGCAATTTTTTCATAACCTGAAAATCAGACTCCTGTTTCATGTGAGCATGCTATACTGTGTGAAGTTTCTGTTTAGGGAACAACCATTTAACCTCAAGGGCGGGGGGAGGGGGAGGTTATGGTTTTTTGTCTGATTAAGAAATTTTTCGCGAAAAGCGTAAACTTTTTTTTTGGGTTTTCAACGCAATCAATCAAATTTTTTTTATCACTGAACATGTTATTGTTTTAATCTAAGAAAACATATTTCAGAAAATATTCATATGTAATGCCATAATTCTATTAAACATTGAAATCAATGAATCATCTTTGAAACAAAATGGTGATGACCTTTCACCATGTTTGATGTATTTTTTCAAGTGTTTTTTTTTTTATATAGCAAAGCCAACAAATCTAATTAGAGTTATTTCCCTTTGAACATGGGTTGAATGTGAAATAATTATATCTTTGATATGTAATAAAGAAACTGAAAACATGAGTCTCTTTCTTATTTGTGTTATGTTAGTTTTGATCAGAAACTGGACCATGAGATGAATGCTTTAAAGAAAGAAAAACCATGTTACTTAACAGATCTTCAAAAAGTCAACTGTAATGCTGTTGCCAAAAAATAATTTTTCGATCACAATGCCTCGCCAACATTTTTCAGACATTATATGGTAAGAATGTTAAATATTCAAAATTCACAATTTTCCAACCAAAAATTTGTTCTGTCAATTTCAATTAATTTTAACATCCCATGACTACACCTATGTGGACATTTAGAAGATTCTTTGGAAAATGATAGTTAATGCTTGTTTTCGTCTAGTACCCATTTTCTTCGTACAATATCAACATGATTTTTCAAGCAGTGTTTGAACCACCTCAGCGGTCTTGTGGTAGGGTGTTTGCCTCTAGTGTGGGAGGTTGTGGGTTTGAACCCCGGCCTAGTCAAACCAAAGACTTTAAAATTGGTACTTGCTGCTTCTCTCCTAAGCACGGGGCATTAAGGAGTAAGAGCAAAGACTGGTCGGCTGGGAGTCAGAATAATGTGTCCGGGTAAGGTGACATGTCCATAGCTGTCAACTGACCCGTATTCTGCGGGTTACACCCGAGAATTTTCCCCTTCACACAGGATTTTTTAAATACCCGCTGGGTATTCAAATAACCCAGGAATTTCAGAAAATGACCTGGTTTCACTCATATTTCTGACCGGTATTGTTTCCGGTATTAAGAAGTCAAATATACCTTGGTTTTCTCAGCGTTTTTCCTTTGAAAAGGTAAACAATTGAAATTAGAATTTGCTTATTTACCGTGCCAATGACAGCTATCAAAACATTACATTTGATTGAAAAGTTACAACTCGAGGAATGTTTGTTAATTGTACCACAGAAAGTTGAAGCCAGTCAAGCTTGACATACAATTCTATGTCCTGATTAAAAGATTTGCCGTTTGCAAATATCAAATATCCTGTAAAAATCATTTTAAAACAATTTAAACCTTTTAATACATTTATGAAAAAGAGGGAGGCCAAAAGAGACCTGGCGCAGAATGGTAGAAACTGAGATGAAAGAACTTGGGAAAACCTGGAAGGAGATTGAGAAGAAGGCAAAAGACAGGCTAATGTGGCGAGTACTGGTTGAGGCCTTATGTGCTGACAGGCAGGAAGAGGATGAGTGAGTGAATACATTTCTGTTGGAGAGAATAATTTTGTTATCACTTAAATGTAAAAGCTTTAAATCAAACCCATATGCTGTAGATTATTACACTGAAAGGAAACACACTAACTTCTTTCTATTTATATTCCTCCTGTGTATATGAGCACATTAGCTATAATTGATAAGCTGGGGTTGTTGACATTCATTAATAAAAAGAAGTAAACTAGTGTGAATAAAACAATAAAAGGGCTTTGCTTTAGAAAGATATTTAATTAATGATAAATATTTATATACTTTTAACAAATACAAAAGTGATTATTTTTAGGAAACTCATCAGTGGTACATGTATATGTTATAGTATATAAAAAAAAACTCTCAATACTAAAATTGGACCGAAATAGTTCGTACGCGTTATGACCTGATATTTTCTTCTTCAATGCAGGTCATGACCTGCATTTTCAGTTTCAGAGGTTGACAGGTATGTATGTCTTCTTGTGGACTGTTATTTTGTGAACTAGCACGTAAAAAAAACGGCTCCACATGTCAGTCTAGTACAAAGCAGGGTAAATATTCATATTACATTAACATGTCTCGTCCTGAATATGCATATTAATTTGGCGCTGGACGTTAAGCAGCCATCCATCATTATCATCAAGTAGTGTTTTAAAATGAGACATTCATGTTTTAAATTTATGTTTTGTGATTCCAATTTAATGTTTGACATTTTCAATAACAAAGACTGAAAGAGTTCAAACAAACTGGTTCTTTGGTAACAGAATCACAGGCGGTCGCAGGTCTCTGAAGCAGGGGACATTTTTCTCCCTGCTACCTCTGGAAGAAATTTTTGATAGGCGGACGTGGGATCTCCGCCGGTCTCTGAAGCAGGGGGAAATTTGTTCTGCCTGCTTCCTCCGGAAGAAATGTTCTATAATAGTTCTCTCTTTTAGCGGTCAAATATAGAATTTCAGAAATCCAAATTTTTAAAGGATGTGATACCATTTAGAACATTGCCCACATAAACTTTTTAATGAGTTAAGATTAGTTGTCAGTTATCAGAATGTCTTTCTTTGTACAACTGAGTCCATGGCTGTTATAATTTGTTTGAATTCTATATATCTTCAAAAATGAATGCCACCAGTATCAAAAATCAGGATTTTTGGGGGTAAAAATTATATGAAGGGCAATCAGAACACTTATGTGACTAGCTTGATATCTTTATCTTCAAAGCCTTGTCTCTTCTACCATTGAGAATTAAAACAACATAGGATAATGTGATGAATGTTCTTTAGGTCATATCCATGCAAATGTAAAACAATTGGTTAAAAAAACATACTCAAATATTCAATTGACCAAGGGGTGTCAGGATTGGTCAAGTGAAAGACTGACCATAGGATTGCTTTTCTGTGGGCAATTCTGACACCCTAAGATGTGTTGTAGGACAAGAAAAACCTTACAATATGCATTATCAGACTTATATACCATCAAACAAATATTATTTTATGCCAAAATTTGCAGGAAATTGTATCCTATTTTACCGATCACACTAAAGTGGGAGAGTCCTTTCTATTGTGCAAGGTACAACCAGCCAATGGCTCAATTATAAGGTGAAATAATCTATATCAAAATGTTAGTTTTCAATGTCCAGTAACATTAGATTTATTACTTTATTTGCAGTTTAAGAACCGGAATCAAGAAACAAACGAATTGTTACTGAGTATGAAAAGTACAAGTCACTTTTGTAAGTAAATTTATTATATTAGATTGATGAAATGGGTGCCATGTTTTTTATATGACCGCAAAAATTTTTTGGGTTCATGTAATGATATAATGTCAGCGTCGTCGTCCTCTAAAGACACATTTGGTTTCAAGACAATAACTTTAGTTAAAGTGAATGGATCTCTATGAAGTTTTACAATAAGGTTCAATACCACAATAGGAAGGTTGGGGTTTATTTTGGGGGTTATGGTACCAACAGTTTAGAAATTAGGGGCCAAAAAGGGGCCAAAAATAAGCATTTTTGTAACTTCCAGACATAACTTGTGTGTTAGTGTATGGATCTCTCTGACATTGTACCACAAGGTTCCATATCACAAAGGGAATGCTGGGATTGATTTTGGGGGTAATTGCCTCCAAGTTTTAGGAATTAGGGGCCAAAAAGGGGCCAAAAAACAAGCATTTTTCTAGTTTCATGACAATAACTTGTGTGTAAGTGTATGGATCTCTCTGACATTGTACCACAAGGTTCCATATCACAAGGGTAAGGCTGGGATTGAGTATGGGGGTAATTGCCCCAAAACAGTTTAGGAATTAGGGCCAAAAAGGGGCCAAAACTAACAGGGTTTAAGCTAGGACTTTGAGGGCTTTAGTCACTTTTGCGCGAGATGAAAATCAACCTTATTTTGGGTAATAGCAAGGGTCCAAGGATGTATATTACTAGCTATACATCTTTGTCAGACTTTGAAGGACTTAGGGATACTAGGCAGTTATTGCATGATTCGACTGATGTGGCACTTAGATATGAAGATTAGGATATAGGATCCAGAAATCTAGTTCACAATTTTCACTTCAGTTTGTTTCAGTGGACATTCCTGACCAACAAAAAAAATAATTCCATTTTTTTAAAATCAGGAATATCAGGCTAGGGACACACCACAAATGAACTTGTAACGACTATTTCACCGCATAATCATTATCCTTAAAAAACGTTTAAATCGATATTTGGAATTCGTTTCTATAAAGTTGGAAACAAGGATTTGTACAAATCCTTATTGGAATGATTCTAATGACTGTAAAGAGGTAGTAAATCAATCAAGAATAGATCATCACGTTCGTTTACTTTCGATTTTCAAATGAAAGAAAACGGGAAGTGATACATGGATAATAAATTCAGAATGAATCCGGGTTCAACTACGAATTGATTCGTGTTTAAAAAAAGGCAGGAAATTTATAATTTTTGTCGAGCCTTCGACTTTAGTCGAAAAAGCGAGACAGACCATGCCTACATTCCGTAGGTGTCGGCGGCGGTGGCGTCCACAAATATTCACTCTGTGGTTAAAATTTTGAAATTTTAATAACTTTCTTAAACTATGTTTGATTTCTACCAAACTTGGACAGAAGCTTGTTTATGATCATAAGATAGTATCCAGAAGTAAATTTTGTAAAAATAAAATTCCATTTTTTCCATATTTTACTTATAAATGGACTTAGTTTTTCTGCCGGGAAATATTGCATTCACTCTGTGGTTAAAGTTTTTTAAATTTTAATAACTTTCTTAAACTATCCTGGGTTTGTACCAAACTTGGACAGAAGCTTGTTTATGATCATAAGATAGTATCCAGAAGTAAATTTTGTAAAAAATAATTCCATTTTTTCCTTATTTTACTTTTAAATGGACTTAGATTTTCTGCCAGGAAACAACACATTCAGTCTGTGGTTGAAGTTTTTAAAATTTTAATAACTTTCTTGTACTATTTTGGATTTGTACCAAACTTGGACAGAAGCTTGTTTATGATCAAAAGCTAGTATCTAGAAGGAAATTTTGTAAAAAAATAAATCCATTTTTTCCATATTTTACTTTTAAATGGACTTAGATTTTCTGCCAGGAAACAACACATTCACTCTGTGGTTAAAGTTTTTTAAAATTTTAATAGCTTTCTTATACTATTTTGGATTTGTACCAAACTTAGACAGAAGCTTGTTTATGATCAAATGCTAGTATCTAGAAGGAAATTTTGTTTTCTTCCAGTTAACATTACATTCAGTCTGCAGTTAAAGTTTTTAAACATTTATTAGATTCATAAACTATCCTGGATTTTTTACCAAACTTGGACAGAAGCTT